GACACGCACACATCAATGAAAACTAAACACATTTTTGCTATAAATTCAGTTAATTTTAGTTAGTTTTGTGAACACTCATTATAGTTTTAGTTAGTTTTCCTTTTTTTATTTTTTATTTTTATTTCCGTTAACGAAAATGTTTTTTCACTTCTAGTTTTTGTTATTTCGTTAGTTTTCGTTAACGATAATAACCTTGGTTCACACAGATAACCACAATCAGAGACGTGTTCACAAAAACTATACTAAAGTATAACAGCGCAATTAACACAAAGAACAAGTATTTCAAACTTCCTACATATATATATATGTGCTGAGGATAAAGTAAGGCACAGTTGAGTTCACCATTGTTCTTGCTTTAAGTGAAAAAGCAAATGTTTGAAAACTAGAAACAGGTTTGCTTCTCATGTCTCGTCACTCATTCTTCTGACAAATGCTGCTTTGCTGGGTTTAAAACGTTCAGGTTAAAGTGAAACACTCACGAGCAGAAATAATCCAACATTTACTCTCATGCCTGCCTCCAGTACAGCGATTTCTGCACTGAGACTTCAGTAGCATCTGCTGCCTTATATTTGCCATAATAGTTCCCATAAGAGCATCATTAACGCATGTCAGGCCAAGCCATCAGTACAGCACAGATTTTACTGTAATAGATGTCTGTTACTATTCTGATATTAAAATATGATGTGAAGGTCAACTAGAAAACTGTGATGTGTGGAGTTTTAAAAGATACAGTGTTTGAACCAAAAGATGAATTTTGATATTTAAAGGATAAAATAAAAGGACAGTGTGTGCCCATTTGTTTCTACATTAAATTTTTCTGTCAGAAAAAAAACACACATACAAATATATGATTTCTTCAAGGATTGAAAAAGAGCATCGTTATTAAAAGTATTACCGTACAGTGTAAGAAGTGCAAACCATTAGAGAAAAAAGCTACTTTCAGTACCATTGATGTTAAGTTAGACTCTTTTTCTCCAATTATCTTTCTGAGTTAACTTCAATAATTACTTCCTCCAAACCATCAATGTGTCTTTTAGACACCATTCCTACAAAACTGCTCAAAGAAGTCCTGCCATTAATTAATTCTTCAATCTTAAATATGATCAACTATCTCTAACTAGAAAGTGCATTTTCTGAAGAAACTGCAGTGTGAATGCTTGAATCTGAATGTATGCACTGAAATGAATTAATTGCTTAATTTAAATTAAAAATTTTGAATGAGATGAAAAATACAGAAATTTTCGCCTGAAAACAAAAGTGCCGAACTGCTAAAAGCTGACACTCACACAGAAGAAGTTGGAAAATAGCTGAAAATGTTTTAATTGTAAATTAGAAAAACCTAAGAAATGGAAAAGAAAATTTAGAGTCAGAAAACATCTGAATGAATATTAAAAGTTCATATTCTTTGAATCACTGAATGACTAAAATGTGATCCCTCCACTTGGATCCACACAGTTTAAAAAGTTTACATCTCTGAGCTTTTAAAGACACGGTGTTGGA